GCGCCTGGGACTGCCCCGCTGTCAGCCTCATTGTTTATCCGTGCCGCAAACATGCGGCCAGAACAAAGCGGCGGCAAATTGGCGCCAAACAGCGCTAAAATGGCGCCAAACAGCTCGGGGTCGCGTCGCTCAGCGCTGGCGCGCAGCTCGTGGCCGCCAACATGGCGTCCGGGCCCGCGGCGGGGCGCGAAAGGACCCGCCGGCGCGTGGCGCGAACTTCACACAAACAGCTGACTCACACCGTTTTCTTGCCACGGCCGTATGTGGTGCGAAAACTGTTCAGGTCTGGGTTTGATTTATGACACAATCTGCCAGTTTGCCTCGTCTCGTCGCCAGTAAAAAGTCCTCTGAAATAAACAGAACGTTAGGGCTGCGGGGCTGGCTGGGCTCTGTTGCCCTGCCGGCCGTAGCTCAACCGCCGCCGGAAGACTGCAGGTGGGTAGACTAGCCCGCCGTACACTCCTGCGCCGCGGCACAGCATGCAGCGCAGCGCGGACCACTGCGCCCGCGAGCCGCCGCGGCGACGCGATAGAACGTCGCGTCCAGGACGGAGCCGTGGTGACTGGGAACATAGCAGAGCAAGGGATACCTATTTATTTACTGTGCATGGACGATGAGCAGCCGGATCAAACTTCAGTCTCGCAATATGACCTGGGTGACAACTGCCAAAAGGTCAGATGTGAAGCAGCTGATAGGTGAGAAATATGGAGGTGAAACATGCAAGAAGTGATAACTGATATGCCTGCATATGCATGTAAGAAGTGAGAAGATGCATGCAAAGTAAGCAAGGCGAAAGATCGAATAGGTGAAATCTTCAGCCGGTAAGGGAAAAGGAAGAAGAACCTGTAGGAAAACGCCTAGCACTGCGTGCGTAATTAATTATCGATTTAAGATCGGTTGTTACGTTATCACGGAACATATTCAGCGCTAAGCCGGTCTCGCGAGCTCTACTTATGCGCACACAACACGATACAGCTGACTTTGAACAGGAGGTGGCCTTCGGCGAGCTATGAATATGAACTACATAATATAAGGGCGGAAAGGATCAATAGGTCAGCACCACAGACGAAAATATACAATGCAGTATTAAGCACAAATCGATCCATACCTTATCCATTCGTGCTTTCTCAAAGTCGTTCGACACTAACACTGAACAGTGATGTGCGCTGGTCACTGGTCAGCCATGAACTCAATGCCCTTGCCCGTCGGTATCGCTAACTGCAAAGGACATCACATTCCACACCTTAAACACCCCAAATCTGAAGGTCACAGCCGCCGGCCTGACGCAGCGTCCGGAACCATCTGAGAAGTCATAGACGAGGCACGGCGGCGGCGGACTGGCGTCCTGGGAGGTAGGCTGCGCCGCATAGCACAGCTGCATTGCGGAACAGAGACCGTGGGTGAATGGGGAATGGGGATATTCGTGGTGCAGACCGGTACAGTAGGGGAGAGTGGGGCAAAGCGGCCACCCTAACGCTTCTCACGATGCCAACGCTTGATTTTTAAACTTGGAAAGATTCTGTTTATACCAATGTGATCCCTATTAAGTTGCCTTTTATTTCAACTGCGTTTTATTTCCAAAGGCGTTCACATATGGAAGATATTGACAAAACTTTAAGCCTATGCATATTGGCCACTTTGCCCCATACCCTGGGGCAAAGCGGCCACCGCCGTCTTCTCAAGTCCCGATATGAGAAACAACATAGTTGCCTCATGTACGACTAGGGTTTTGATGGTGACAAGGTTTAAGCGAGGATGGATGTTTACTTTATCATCTTCCACCTGTAGGTATTCAAAGAAAGGATTTTCATGAAAAAAAACATTTAATTGCATTATTTGGTAACTCATGCAACTGAAAAGTGGCCAAGATGAATGCACGACGACATATTTGAATATAAATAATGTTTTTTATCCAGATGGAAACAACTTATGGCCAATTGGGGGGGTGGCCACTTTGCCCCGGCCACTTTGCCCCGCGCATACCGTCCGAGACAAAAATATTCCAGCTTAGCTTTTAGTGGGGTAAAAAACATTAAAATTGGTAGAATGCATGTACGATAACCATGCAATGCATGGACAAGAACGCTTATAAAAAATCCAAACGGTTATGGAATAACATAACATTTGAAAATTGTAAACATAGTTGGTAACCTGGCAAGAAATGCTTTTCCGTGTTTCACAGAACAATGGTGATGGGCCTGAAACCCCGGTCTGGCTCATTCGAACGACCGTGAAGAGAAGTATAATTGGAAACCATAAATTGGAACTGACGCCAGCTACGAAGGGCTAAAACGATGGGTGGCCGCTTTGCCCCGGGTGGCCGCTTTGCCCCACTCTCCCCTACCTTCACTCGAGAAGGGTCTGACCATATTGAGCCATAGTGTTAACCTGTGAGGTTTTCCCGCTAGGTAATGCTCCGAATCTATTTGCCACCTCTGAGACGCCCCAGATCAAAACGCAGTCCGCCGTAAGGTCACGGTCTTTTGCAGAGTCATGGAACGAAGCCACCTGTAGTATCCAGGGCTGTAGTAACTACATTAGGACGTCATTTGGAGCTGGAGCGTCTTTCTGCAATACTCAGGGGCGCTACCCGAATACCAAAGGGCCCAGCTCGTTCTGTTGGGGTAATCCTGTGTGATCCAACTACTACTGCTGGCAGTAATAAGTGTGATCCAGCACGCGTCCGAGAGGCTGAGCTTTGTGATCTTTGTACTGCAGAGCGGTGATCCTGGACGTGAGACAAAATAAAATGATTGGCGCGTATGGGATTATTCGCGGGATTTAGAGGGCAAAGGCACAGATTTAGCTGCCGCAACCAAACTTTGAGAAATATTCCGGTCATTTATATTCATAGCCTCTTCAACAGAACCAACTTTTTCAACATCCTACATCTCTCTCTCTCTCTCTCTCTCTCTCTCTCTCTCTCTCTCTCTCTCTCTCTCTCTCTCTCTCTCTCTCTCTCTCTCTCTCTCTCTCTCTCTCTCTCTCTCTCTCTCTCTCTCTCTCTCTCTCTCTCTCTCTCTCTCTCTCTCTCTCTCTCTCTCTCTCTCTCTCTCTCTCTGTCTGTCTGTCTGTCTGTCTGTCTGTCTGTCTGTCTGTCTGTCTGTCTGTCTCTCTCCCTCCCTCCCTCCCGTGAGCGCTGGCCAAACTTCCATTTAGAGCAGACTTCCCTGTCAACATAATCTTAAACAGCTTCTCCACGAACTAACCGCATATCTCTTTTCTATTCCAATATAGAAGCGACTGAACTTTGGCCAAGGCGGAGGCCACCACTCACGGCGTAGGAACCCATGGCAGGAAAGTCAACATGAGTTTTCCCATCAAATGACTTTGTGGCTAATTTCTCTCTCTCTGCCTCCTTTTATTGGTTTTCTCTGTGGTTGTTTTACATCTTTGTTTTTCTTGTTCGCTGTTTGTCAATCTGTAAATAGACATTTCTATTAATCTATCTATCTCTGGGTAGTATTCTATTTACCCTACCTATCTATCCATCTATATTTGCATCTGTCTTATCTATCCATCCCTTTAACTAACTAGCCTCATTTGTCTTTTCGCATGTGGCACCACACTGAGGAGACAGGCCAATAAGGACTAAAAGCTAAAAGTAAATGAATCCACTTTCCCGGTCATAAATCTGTATATCAGCGTGTGAACAGCTAGGCCGGCTTCTCTAGAAGCGACGTCCGCTTGCCTCCAGATTTTTTGCAGTCCCCGGACTCCACTCACACTATTTCAATAGAAAAAAACAATTCTAACGAATAGTGTTTGTATTAAAAAAAAAGCATGCGGTTATACTTGGTCTGCACTCAGATACCGGGCTGAAGCATAATTGGGTAAGGCCCTGGCAACGTAGTTGGTAAGAGTGTCAATCTGATGCTGCAAAGCTACATCAGAGACACATATCAATATTTGTGCTGGGGCACCGGTATTGTTGCAGCAGATATTCCCCAATGGAGTGGATAGTGACTAGTGAGGCACGCCACTTTAGATCAAAGTCATAATAGATAATGGTAAGGATCGCATCTACACACTGAAATGGTAATGATTACCGTGATCTGTTAATGAGGCGACACAAATGGTCACCCACCACAATAAACAGCGCGTGAACAAGTGTGACTGACATGCGTGGATCCTGGGGCCCAATCGAGACTATTCTCGAATCTCTAGTTCCTAGACCAAGGAATGGCATGGTACCATAATTGGGTTTTATAATCGGGAATTTTCGGCGCCTTTTTCGAAAGCGGCTGTTGTTTTGTCTCAACTACCAGCCACATTTTATCAAAAACTCATTCGTATCAATTTATATCAACTCTACACGCGAAGCGCTTTTCAGCTCCCCGCGGCTAGCCCTGTCTTTTAATTTCCAGACAAATTCCCGATGACAGATAAAGAACTCTACGGTCTTCGGAAGATAAAACGTCGTAGTGAATTACGGCGGCCGCGCGGATACGGCTGTTTTCAAACGGCTCTCTACTGGATCCGATTATTTCCGCACATTTTCTGGCCGATCAGAGCAACAATGGAGCGCCGTCCGAGGCACTCAGCCGAATGGGAGGCAGACATCCGGCCTGTCCTCGATGGGGTGAGACATCAAACGGGGTACGGTAGAGATCAAACTGCCGGCAGCCGGCCGCTTCACACACAGCGCGCGCACACGTGAGGGAGTCAGTTATGAACGCAAACACAGGCAAGGACTTTCGTAATCGTAGTCACAGCTGGAGCTGAAGTTACAGGCACTGCAATGCCTGTAACTATTTCCCTCCCATGTGACGGAAACAGTCACAGCTGCATCGCTAGTCACAATCATAGTCAGAGTTGTCCAGTCAAATTGAGTCATGGTTAAAGTCACGGCCCTAGTGAGTGTCACAGCCACAATCACAGAACAACGGATACCAATAACTAGGACTCTGTAGAAGCTTCGCTCGATGTTTATCGCTTTATCAAATCGCCAACAAAACTGGTGACCTAAGCAGTCAAGCTGTAAACACATCAAACATTCATTGTCGTCTTGGTCGGTTTATTTCATTGTCGTTCGTTGATTTTTCACGATAAAGCACGCAGAGACTAGCCACAGGACTTTGCTCCACAGACAATATAGTGGTAGCAAGCGCTCAGCGACAATCAAAGCAATCAATCATGATGTGGTAACAAGGACAAATCACATCTAGGCGGGATTAATTTATAAACGAGCTACAACGTCGGACATCGTAGAGCGACGACAACTCATCCGGCTGGACGATTTATCATTTCAAAGCCACCACTCAGCTGTCGGAGATTTGAAAAATGGAACTAGGACGGACTATCTAACCACATACACCATTCAATAGCGCTGCGCAGCCACTTCTGCTGCGACTGAAGCTGACTGAATTCTAAACATCCACGAACTCGCTGACATTTTGCTTGAAAAGGACGGACTCGTATCTCACAAAACAGCGCCTTTGGCAGTGGCCGCGTCACTCGGTCTCCATCGCGCCGCAAAATCGGCTGACGTCACCGAGCGGCTGACGTCACCGATCAGTGACGTCACTTATCAGTAGCCGTTGAGCCGCACGCTGGACGGGTAGCGGCTGCGGATCACCCGGATCTTTTCCTTATCAATTCTCAGCGACTCGCGCTTCACAGCCACGTCATTCTCCAGCACACATCGGCGGTTCAGCAGAGTCTGACGGAAGACAAATAGTGACGTCAAACACTGACGGTTCAGCAGAGTCTGACGGAAGAAAAATAGTGACGTCAAACACTGACAGTTCAGCAGAGTCTGACGGAAGGGAGCCAGTGACGTCAAACACTGCCGAGTTAAAAGAGTCTAAGGGAAAGGAAATACATAGTGACGTCAAACACTGTCGGCTTTGCCGCGACTGACGGGAGGAAAAAATAACGTCAAACGTTGTCAGTTCAGCATTGTCAGACCGGTCACCATCATTGCGGTCGGTGGCAGACGCAGTTCGCTCGGCTCATTGACCTCTCAGGTGACCGTCGTCACGCCTAGCTCAGTATCCCTCCCCCAATGGCGTCGTGACCTTTGCCCCGAGTCCAACAGATGCGTTGGTGGTGACGCCATGCCACCGGAAAGGTAGGGGTGAGTGCATCAGACATCCTCCACGACGACTAGTCGACCTCTAGATGACCTTTGACTCACGCGATCTCACGGGACCCATCACAGACAGGCGACAGGGCCTCGGACGCCACGTTACGGCTTATTACGCCACAGCTGACCCTCAGAACACTAAAAACATTTGGTTCTGCAAAACCGTCTGACAGCTTATTGTATTCTACGCCGGACCGCTTCACAGATTCCCATTTTAGCCAGGCCCTATCGCCATAATCAAACCGTGTCAAGCTCCAGAAGCTTTGCACGCTAACTGAAGAGCCACCAGGCAGAAGGGCTCCTCGCTATGCATACTATGGTTTAACGACCGTGAACATCCTCTCCAAACGTTGAGAAACAATTGGAAGGCAGAGCACTTCCGCCCTCACCAAACCTCGGCAACAGAATCACCCCACACGCAGACGCATAGCGCTCACAAAGCACCAGGCGCCAGCTCGAGTCGCTCCTTGACGAGCGCCCAAACTGCAGGCGCGAAGACGGTTCGACGCTTTCCGTTCCTCACACTGATGGCCGATATAAATAAATCGACGAGTCAGACGAGCGTCGACCAACCGACGACTTCCCGTCGGGGGTTTTACTGAGCAGTCCAAGAGTAACGACTGTCGGGCGTTTACTACCGCGGAGCTCGGAGGGGAATTGAGATATGCATGTAAGTCTGCATTGGTGAGTTCACCCGCTGGTGGAAGGGAACGGAAGATAAACTTAGCTGGGTCACTGCAGTTAACGATTGAGGTGCATCACACAGTCGCAGCCCCAACGGGCATAGTGTGATGGAGTAGAAGTCAATATTCAGATATTTCGCCATTTACTTATGCTCTACAATGTTGTGTTCGTGCTGCATTAGAGCCGGGCATAGCCCAGGGCTCTAATTCAGCACACGCGCTACAGGACGGAACCGGCCGCTCCCCCACTAAAGTACGAGATCCCCAGCTACCACCGACCATCTCTCAGGAGTTTAGCGACAGGACCCCGGCTGTGGCCGCTGGCCTGTGCATGGCCTCGGCGCTGCCCCCCATCAAACCTAACCGCATTGTCTGCATACACAGCACACACGGGAGACCGGGGGGTGCCTTTATCCTGCAGCCGGGTCTATGGAAATACCAGCCGGGTCGCCGTCGGTCGCTCGTCATGACACTCTCCAGGGGCCCGGCCGGCCCGACAGCCGAGCCCGCAGTGACACCGGCCGCTGAATAATGGAAACGCCACGGAGCGGCCCGATCGCAGCCCGAAACTAATCCAATTGCAGAGCTGATTTGTTTACCGGGCTCCCAGTTCAAGAACCCGCCTACAGGCTGTGAAAATAGGGATAGGAGAAATACAAAACCAGATCTAGTTGTTACCGATGACAATTATGTAGTCCGTAGCCGAACATAACACATTGTGCGACATGAACAAGGCAGAGAACACAGCGCTGCACGCTCAAACAACAATGCGTCAAGCCTTTCAGCAATGTTTTTGCTGCCACCGGCCGGTACGGACGGACAAGGCTTATCGTCAGCTCGCCATGTTTATCGGTAAACAGCGCCCGACGTCATAAACATATCAAACTTGAGCAAATGCCCTCTACCGGCATCTAGCTTCATTGGAATCCCAGAGCCGCTCATGTCCGGCTGCTCTGATGTCAAAATCGAGGTCAAACAACCGTAGCGTCAACTCTCTAGGTATATACTGCCTTGTCTCTAGCCAACTCCTGAAAGCTTCTTCGTTCTTCAGTGCCTACTTCAACCCCTAATGAATTATGACATCAAATGTTTTGTCATGGGTAGGCAGCAGGGCAGCAAAACGGGATGTATATCCCTGCGGACGGCTCTGATAACCTCGACCTGTCGGCCCCGCAACTGACCGAAGCAGTCCGCCTCCCCCATGTTAGACAAGCCGGTCGGCTGGGCGGGCGACCTGACACGCCAGTCAACTCGGCCAACTGCCCCGTCGGGACGTCCGCAGCCAACGGCCACAGCTCGAGTAACGACTGGAGGCTGATACCATGGGGGCGGCGGGGTCGAGCTGACACGACCCACATCCCATCGCGCCCGTGGTGCTCGGGTCAGGTCGGCGACCATACGGGTGATCGAGCTAGAAGGCCGCGCTGGCAGCCAGCAATAGCTGAATTCTGAGAGCAGGCTTCTAAAGAACGTGTGGTCCTGTCGAGTCATTGCCAATGCAACCATTGACGTTAGTCACGGTTGTAAATGAAGTTACGGACATCATCGGAGCCGCAGCCAACGCTGTGAAACATAATTAACCTTTAATAGCGATAATTGAACGCTAAACATTTGGCAGCGACTCTCGTCCACACTTTTCAAACCACTGACGGGCCCTAATCAAATAGCCCTGCTGAGCGCAGCATTTCAGCAGCAGCGGCAGCAGCAGCGGGGTCCTAACAAGCCGATGCCGGCACATACATCACTCATGATTAAAGCGAGCCGCCCGCGTTCCATCTGACTCGGCACCAGTGGCGCTGGACTGGCACTATACGTCCGATTTGGGCGTCAAGTGGCGTTCTGCTGACGCCATGTAACGCCCGGAAAACCCACAGCTCTGAGGCACGTACCGTGGAGCGGTGACGAGGCGTCAAAGGCCAGCCCGGGTGGCAGGGCCACTGAGCGGCGCAGCAAAACACACCACGAAACTCCGGACAAAAATTAAAGGACAGAAAGCAAAACTAAAAACACATTTAGTTGAGCGCAAGAAGCAGCCGAAAATCTCCAGAGCAAACAGTAAAGAAAGCAAAGTAAAACAAGAACATAGTTTCGTCCGTGAGTAGGAGTCGCTAGAAACGAGGTCAACAAAACGGGTCTTTCGTAAAACACAAGAAGTCGAAAATCTTCAGAGACAGCGGAAAAGTAAGCAAGGTCGGAAGCAGCAAAGGTTCATAAATAAGTCAGAAGCCAGAAAAGTCACAGGTGAGCACGACCGTGGTGTACCAAGGGGAGGGTGCTAGCCCAGGGGGTCACATGTCGTAAGGACAGTCCTAGCGGCACATGACTGCAGCTGACCGCGGCCGCTACGTCACACGATGCGCCGTGAACTCACCTGGAGGTGCCTCTGGGCGTCCGATAGTCGCTGTCGCAGCAGAGCGATCTGTTTCGGTAGCTCCAGCAGCTCCACAGACAGGCTGTCGAAAGACAAACAGACGCACAGGGTCAGACCGCTGGACAGGGTCCGATCATCAGCGCAGGGACACCGTCGGACATTGGTGGGTCCAGCAATCAGACACTGCAGGGGATACAACTTCCTAAAAAGGGCTCTTCAATTTCCACTAAGATTTCGAAGTCACTTCATTATGCGCTGCTGTACAAATAAGAACAAACTTCTGCTAATGAAAGCTGTTTAGTTTTTATTTGGGATAAGAACGACAAAACATGTGTCAATTCCGGACGCTGCGGAAGAGGAAAAGCCGGCCACTTTGATTCACCACTAGATGGATAGTGAGCAATGGAGAAATAGCGGTATTTGAGGTCAGACCAGAACAGGCCCACATTGGGTCAGCTGGGTCCATGGACAGGTATCGCCAAGTCATCCCTGAGTCTCGGTTGGTGTCGTGAATTAGATCAGACAGGATATCACAGGAGAGCAGATTTAGTCACACTAAGACACTTCAGTCACAACATTGCACTGCAGTCACGAAAGCAACTGCGTGAAGAGACGCAAAACTAAAAAAAAAAAACTCGCAGAACCTTCACACCACCTCTCAACCACCTCTCACATCACGTGACCCGCCGCCCCTGCAGTCTGTGCCGGGCGCGGATATCACGTGACCCCGGCTTCCGGTCACCCTGTGCGCTGCCCCCGGGATAAGTAACGAGGGCGGCAGCTGGCGGCGACAGTTGAGCATTATGCAGCTGGGCGCGGCGGTCCGGGCAGCACCGGCACCGAACGGAGCCAGGCTCCACCCTGCCGACGGCGACGATGGCGAATTGCAGCAAGCCTTACAGCAATACTGCCAGTCTCCTGGCGGAACTGTATACTGAGAAAATAAAAACGGAGCTTTGAACTGGTGCGCGACAAGAGCCGAAAAATGAAAAAAAAACTGACATGGCCACCGAACCATGACAGCGTTCCCCCTTGGGAGAGAGGGGGCGCCCCTGTTTTTCCCTTTAAGTATACTTAGCCTAAAACAGCTATTTCGCAAGTAAACTTGTAATATCTGTTCCCATATCAATTCTTGATACCTATGCTGACTAAAAAGCAAGTCAAGGGTTGCGATAGCTCGGCCAGAGATGCCGTTCAATGTCCTGGAAATTCAGCTCACAAAACAGGGTCTGAGGAAGTGAATCGTTTTTCTTTTTAAATACAAAATTGATGAATGGCTGATGTCACTATACATCCATTTTCAAAATATTGGCATACGAAGTCATTACGAAATCTGCGCGAGCCTCGCATTAGTCTCGCACCTTAATTCGAGCCCAGTTTGACCAACTACCGCACTTTGGAAACTGCTGTTCCTGGGAGACTTCAGGCATTGGTATTATCAATTCAAAATACGCGACATTTAATGGATTCTCGGCAACGCACAGGCTGCTGAATAAGAACTGCGTAGTGCTTTGAAAACCATTCGGTATTTACTATTTACCTACTGTCGGTTCTATTGTGAGCCTGTTCTGGCGGATTCTGTCCGCGGCGTCTTAGAAAGGTCGGTTTGCAGTGCGACTGTATATACAGTGTACGCACCGTCCTCATAAATCACGAAAGGAGGGGTCAGCTGGCAGCCCTCATCCCGTCCGTCCTGTGTGCCAGTTCACAGGCCCTTTGCACAAGCGTCGTACACGCCTTCAAAAACTCCGCGACTAAAGCCAGACAGTCCGCATCATGAGCAGACAGCCGTGCAGACAGCTGACCACTGTAATTGAAATCTGTACTACGTCGAGCGAGTGACGCAGTGAAAATAATTGAAATACTATTTCGGTAGGCACGCACACAACTGCTAATCAGATCGTGGAACCCTGCTGATGGATGGTTATCAGATTTGCATTATTCTAGCAATATAGCGGTTCAGGGACTGCAAAAACAGCCTATACCTTTTCTGTTTATACGCGACGCCATATTGAGAAAAAACTCCGGATTGTATAGCATTAACATATCAACTACCATAATAGACTATCTAATCGAAACCGCCGTATAAAATAACACCTGCTATCTCTATACGAATTTGTAAGCGACTACATCGTATCCATTTGGAAGCACCCACGTAAAAACTGTGCCTGAATCTATTAGCATACAAATTTCGTTATGCTGCTGTTTTCATATTCCTACCGGGCTTCTAAGACAAATGACAGTGTTTTGTCAGTGTTTGGTATCATACCAGCTGAATAAATTTTCATCCATCAAAGTGGTCTATCATAAGGGAATTCATAACCAAACCAGCTGCCTGTTTGGGAACATCAAATCAGATCCATTCCTCGGTCGTTCAACAGAGCACGGCCCAGGAGCGACACACTTCACAGCACATAGGTCTTGTGACTACCTTTTGCTCAGTGGTGAACTGAAGTGAACACGGCCATATATGATCGGGCGGTGGTCGCGCAGGATCGAAAACACCCGTTACCAGAGCGACCCGGAATTATTTGACCAGCTGGAGTAGGCTAGAGACCATCGGCAGACCTATACACGGAAGTAAGACATTAATGAAAAAGGTAACTTCTCCGGAAACAGCAATAATATTAATGCACTCAGTGAACGGAATCCAACCATGTGCATTGTGCAGTCCAGGGCTCAACGTCTAATGAACAGACTTCCAATCAACCAACTTCCAAGTTTTTGAATGAATGTTTTACAATCCGATATCAGGTATCAGGATTCAAGAGCCGACCAATTACCCCTCCCTCCATTAGTTGCCGCCGTCCGGGACAACTGTCGCTGCCGCTCGGGACGGCCCTTGAGACGATGGCAGTGTGCGCAACTGGCCCGCATGGCCAAAGCTGACCTTTCTACCGGCTGCGCAACGCAATCAGCCCGATTCGCCGCTCGCTAAGCGAATTGGCCGCGCTCAGACTCGCCGGCAGAATTGGTAAAACTCGCCGGCCGCCTCCTGCAGGTGGCTGCGCTGCCGGCCAGCCGGCGATTGTCTGGGGACTGGAGCCCGCACGGTCGGTGTCACTGCCCTGATGGCACATCAAACAAACCGGGACCTCAGCCCGCCGGCGCGGCGGTCACACCGACGAGGAAGGCTCTCGTTCGGCTGAGCACCAACACATCAACTATATCACCCAGACTATGTACCCATCACGGCCTCATCAGCTAACCTGCATCCTCTCCGCCTCTATTCTCTGCTGGGAAACGGAACTCCCCGTACGTCGGACCGAACTGTCCGAATACCGCTCACTCTCCCCAGCCCGTGCCCTCACCTGAAGTCTGATCACGCACCAGTGCACTGATTCCGTCCCGTCTCGTCCCGGGGGAATCCCACAGACGTGCCGCACTCGTTCCCGTCTCCCTTACAGGGGCGGATCCAGGAAAACTCCAAGGGGAGGGTCATGAATCGAAGTGGTGCCCCTACCTATACCCAAAATTAAAAACTCAACGGATTTCGTCCACTTCATTTTGGTGGTGCCCCCATTTTCAGTTTTTTTCTTTTTATTTTTTTTTTTAGTCAGTATCTTAACTCTTAGCCACAACCACATTTACCAATTGTAAGCAAGTATATATGAATGTGCCATGTGTATATATGTTGTGGACGCTGAGTAGTGAGTACTTACCAGGAACGTTATCAGGTAAGCAAATCGTTGTCAGTCCGACGAACTTGACCCTGGCGTCTAAAGCGTCTGTCCTCGACACTTCAGGCTTGTCAGGGGCACCAAAGTCCTTCCAGGGACACCACAAACCTGTCAGGGGCACCTACGACCTTGTAGGGGCGCCACAGGCCCGCCAGGGGCACCACAGGCCTGCCAGGAAGCAGGGGCACCACAGGCCTAGCAAGTAGGTATACACGACAGGCCTGTCAGGGGCACAACGGGCCTGTTGGGCCCATGAGCACCCCTAGGGGCAGGGGCACCACAGTCCTTCCAGGGCACCGCAGGCCTGTGAGGGGCACCAGCGGCCTAGCAGGGGCACCAGTCAACACAGGCCTGCCAGGGGCACCACAGACCTGCCAGGGGCACCAGAGGCCTGCCAGGAGCACCACCGACCTCGCAGGGGTAACTTGGGCCTGTCAGGGCCCAGGGGCACCACGGTCCTGTCGAGAGGCACTTCAGGCTTTCCAGGGGCACCATAGTCCTCTCCGGACGCAGGGGTAGCAGGGGCACCAGAGGCCAGTCAACACAGGTCTGCCAGGGGCGCCACAGACCTGCCAGGGGCACCACAGACCTGCCAGGGGCACCAGAGGTCTGCCAGGGGCACCACCGGCCTCGCAGGGGCACCTTGGGCCTGTCAGGGGCACCACGGGCCTGCCGAGGTGCACTTCAGACTTTTCAGGGGCACCAGTCCTCTCCGGGCGCAGGGGTACCAGCGGCCTAGCAAGGGCACCAGAGGCCTGCCAGGGGCACCAGCGGCCTAGCAAGGGCACCAGAGGCCTGTCAGGGGCACCACAGGCCTAACAAGGGCACCACGGGCCTGTCAGGGGCACCTCAGGCTTGTCAGGGCCCAGGGACACCACAGTCCTTCCAAGGGCACCGCAAGCCTGTCAGGGGCACCAGAGGCCTGCCAGGGGCACCACAGGCCTAGCAAGGGCACCACTGGCCTGTCAGGGGCACCTCAGGCTTGTCAGGGCCCAGGGGCACCACAGTCCTTCCAGGGGCATTACAAGCCTGTCAGGGGCACCAGAGGCCTAGCAAGGGCACCACAAGCCTGCCATGGACACCGCAGGCCTGCCAGGGGCACCACCGGCCTTGCAGGGGCGCCTCAGGCCTGTCAGGGGCACTACGTGCCTGCCGGGGACACTTCAGGCTTGTCAGGGGCGTTACAGTCCTGTCAGGGCCCAGGGGCACCAGGCTCGTGGTGTCCCTGCTAGGCCTGTGGTGCCCCTGGCGGTCCTGTGGTGCCCCTGTCAGGACTGTGATACCCCTGATAGGCCGGTGGTGCCCCTGGCAGGTCTTTGGGCCCCCGGGCCTCAAGGGGGGGGCCATGACCCATGTGACCCCCCCTTGGATCCGCCCCTGCTCCCTTACACGAGGACAGGAA